TTTTTTTTTTTTTGAGTCATTATGCCTAAGACTTTTGAGCTTGAGTCTTGAAGAAGAAATTATTTGTATATGTATTTAAGTACTTTATAGCTGTGATTTGGCATGCCAATTTTAGACATGCCTACTTTTCTATGTTTTACATTCATCAAATACTCATTTCTAGATATAGAAAGCATTTTGTGCAGATTAAAATCTATTAAATGGAGGACAGGTATTTTATGATTATGAGGTACCTTAAATAGGCAAATTCATAGAGGCAGAGCAGAATAGAGGTTATTAGGGGTCGGGGAAGGTGAGAATGGGGAGTTACTATTTGACGGGTACAGAGTTTGGGAAGATGGGAGTTTTGGGTGTAGATATAGTCGTGGGTACACAGCAGTGTGTCTTTAATGTCCCTGAATCATGCCCTTACGGATGGTTAAAATGATAAGTAGTATCTATTTCTCCACATGCAAAAGCTTTAACTTCTAAAAAGATACATATACATGCATGCGTGCCTTGTCCAACAATCATTTCTTCGAAGTTATAAAACCCTTTTCTTGGAAGTTACAGAAAGGAAAAAGTTTATTTGCAAACATGGAACACTCGTTTCAAATATATTGCAAACCTCTCATCCATAGGCTGCGCATGGTTTGTTTCCTTTCATTTATTAGAGAATGCCAGGTTAACTAGAGAACCAAAGTTAGAACAGTTTTGTTTTAGGGATTTTTTCTTTTTGGATCTTTAAGAATGTTGTCTGGCCTACCACTCAAAGTGGAAACTTAATTTGAGTGTGTGCATGACTGTTCTTATTAGCTGTCAGAGGGATTTTACTATTTGCCATGAATCAAAGACCCTCTTTCCTACTACACTGTGGGATGAGATGTGCCAGATACGATCGTTCTCAGAGGCAGGAGAAAGCGGTCTTTTCTTGTCCCCCCGCATGCTACGTTTTTATGTATCGTGTGTTTCTAGCTCGTTAAATTGTTGAATTGTCTGTGGAACCGGTTGTTGCTGAGTACCATTTATATCAAAGAGAGAAAACAATAAGCTCAGGTCAATTAATTACCAGTGTAAGGCACAGTATGAAAGCCAGAGTCGTCCTTGGGAGCCTGTAAATACTTCCTTCAGTTCCTGCCACCTAGGCCAATATTGCCAAAGACCAGGCCCAAGACCTAATGGTCAAAGTGGCGGAACTTCTTAGAAAGCTGAATTGGAAGCCTCACAGAGTCATCCGCATCAAAGTCTGGTAGGATCGAGACCCTGGGACTAGGGTTGGGCTCTTCTGGGTAGATGCACCTGAGAACCTCAGGTTCCTCTGTAACTTCTGGGCCTGCGGACGTGGCCACCTGCCCTTAGGTTAAAGAACAGACAAGGTGTAGAGGAAATGCTAGGACGGACGATGGAAGAGAAAGAGCAGGGACTACACCCGTCTGGCGAGTCCGCTCTCGGTGTACTGATCCAACGTAGAAGATGCTAGCTTCCTTCCCCCTGTTCCTTGACCAGGTCTCGGCTAAAGCAGGTGGTCTTGCTGCAAAGTGCTGATCTTCCTCCGGGTCTGCCCCCACCTCCCACCTGAGCCACCAGATCAAGCCTGGGGGCACATTTCAGCACAGCAGACGGGGGTGATGATGGCCCGCTAGTTTGGAAGAGGGGTTATTCACCAAAGGGGCTGCAGGGCCTGGTAACTGCTACCAGTGAGAACTGGGAGAGCGTGACTGAGAGAGGGACATGATCGAAAGCTGCACAAGAGAGAGAGTGTTGGAGTGTGGGACTCTTCTGCTGCTCTCTCTTGGAGAGCCAGTTCTCTGAGCCGCTGTGACGACTCTTAGCAACTCAGAAGGAGTGGTGGCCTTTATATAAAAAGCAATTTATTTTCACTGCAGAAACACTTAGAGAATACAGAGTATTTTTTTAACCCCCTAAATCGCTTCTGTCCTGTGCTGCCAAGTACTGTTAACATTTCCGTCTCTTCCTTTCTGTTATCTTTCTCTGTGTGCACATGTGAACACACACAGAAATTCACTGCAGATGCCGAGATCGTGCTGCATGTAAAGTTTTTACTAATCCTACCTTCTCAAGAAATTAACAGTATAAATGTATCTGCAAACACTGATATTCCTGGAGATGGTCACCTTTAATTTCAGCAAACGATTCCCTGATATGTCGGAGTCACTGGAGCTGATTCCCCAGCACCCTTTGCCGTGTAGACCTTGGGGAATTTGTAAATCCTCTAACTTACTTGATTTCACTGAACCGTAGTTGAACGTGCATTTTCTTTTCCTGAAGGCGGATAAGAAGTAGCCGTGTGAGCGGTTATGATTCGCTGCCACATGGCTGCTCTTCAGTCTCATTGACGGGTCAGGGGAGAAACTCAAAATGTTTTCAGATACCGATCACTGTCCATTTGTGACTGAGAAACTAAAAACAAAAACTCTGCAGAAATCAGAAAACATAGAGTTGCTTCCTGATCAGTGAAAAGACAAATCTGTCTCAAATTTATAGCCAGCTGCCTATCAAAAAGTGAAATATAAAAGACCTTGGCGTTAAAATAACGTGAGGACAAGGAGGCCCAGTATCACCCCTGGCTTCGAACATCGTCCTTAGAGTGCTAGCCTGAGTGGGCCAGTAAGAACTCAAGGGTATATGTTAGAAAAGAAAAGGAAAATGCTGTCATCTGTGGATGATGTAATAACTGTCTGCCTTAAAACCCAGGAGAGTCAGCTGAAACTCGGAGAGCTGGTAAGGGGTTCATTACAAGCGACATTAAATGCACTTACAAAACTCAGTGTTGGTCCTTATATCTGAAATATAATAGAAATAAGATCCTATTCATAACATAAAAAGCAATAGATAAGATGTCTAGTACCGTTCTCACATACAGTAGACATGTAGGTATTTTTTGAATGAATAAAAAATTAACAAGATTAATAAAATATGCCAGGGCCTATAGTTAGAAGTATTAGAAGCCTTTAGTCAATAGGAAAGCTTTCTGTATTCTTAGATGGGTAAACAGTATTACCATGGCATTTCTCCATTATTTCTATAATCTAATCCCAATGAAAATCATGAGGAGTGTGTGTGTAGGATGGGAGAAAGATATTAAATACGTATCCAGGACGGCTTTTTTTTTCTTTTCTTTTTTTTTTTAAGTAATAGGGATGCACTGCCTTATAGCTTTTAAGCAATTATTAGGTTAAAGAACAGACAAGGTGTAGAGGAAATGCTAGGACGATGGAAGAGAAAGAGCAGGGACTCACCCGCCTGGCGCGTCCGCTCTCGGTATACTGATTCAACGTAGACTTGAACGCCTTCTGTCTGCTGGGCCTGGGGTTACGTTCTTGAGGAAGACAGATGACCTTCTGGCACGCCGGTGTCTCCCAGACGTGGGGAAGCCACACGTGAGCGGCAGGATTGTGCGAGGCGTTTGGAGCAAGCGAGGCGGGGGCTGGGGGAACTCTAGGAGGGGCGCGTGCTGCCTCCTCGCTCTCCTCTGACCCCAGGGTTAGTACATTAAGAACGATGTTCCGAGACGGGTGGTAGGGGACTTCTCAGGTGAAGTGACTGTCGAATGGAAGCAGAGAGGATGAGTAAGAATTGGCTTCGAGCAGGTGGAGGGGGCAAGGGGCAGTGGGACGGGCGGAGGCCTGTCGGAAGACCTACGGACCAGACCGGCTGGTGGAGCACCCGGGAGGGGAGAGGCGGGAGGAGGTGGAGCTGGGTGGAGAGCAGCTGCCACCCAGAGGGTGGCATCGTGGGGGACGTGGGGTCCACGCTAGGGCCTCGACCTGTGTTCGAAAGGGGGCCGAAAGCCAGTAGCGGGCTCTAAGCAGGGGATGGCCGAATCTAACCCTGCTGTATGCCAGCGGTGTTTTAACAGATGATCGCCTTGCCTTATGTCTGTAGCCCACAGCTCCGTGCATACAGGAGTTCCTCACACTTCTGGCCGTGTGCCACACCGTCGTCCCTGAGAAGGATGGAGATAACATCATCTATCAGGCTTCTTCCCCAGGTGAGGGCTCTGGGCTGGGTGTGCCCTGCTATCCCCTTTTCTGGAGGCTTGGCTGTCTGCATTTACTTGTGGAGGGTGCGGTAGGGAGGTCGGCTTCACGAAGACCCCACTATTTACCTCTGGCCTCACGCAGTGTACAGGTTATGGTCACAAGCGATAAAGCCACAGAAAGGTGGCGCTGGGCCCTCCTGACTCTGTAACACTGTGACCACGATGGGAGGCCCCAGGCCGTCTTGCAGCTCCTAGCAGAAGTCCCTTGCAAAAATAACATAGCAATCACTATTGCTCATAAGAGGCTACATGCAGTGGAAGAGAAAGATCAAATCATAATTTCAGCTTGGAACATACCTGTCTTTGAGTCCTCTGAAAATTTGTTGAAGTGTATTGTGAATGTTGTGCCATGTATGTGTCAGTAATTTTCAGTTTACCAGAACGTTTAACCTGAACGCTACTATTCTCCAATAATTTTGAGCAAAGGAAAAATCATCATAAAGCAAAAAAAAAAAAAAAAAAAAAAAAAAAAAAAAAAAAAAAGTCCCTGCACTGGACAAAACTCTCAGGGGAGGGTGGCCTGGCTTCCCTGTTCACCCTCTGCCCGTCGTAGATTCTCCAGCTGCTGATGAAGCTGGGTGCTGACTCTCGACCCGCTTCCTGGAGCTCCGAATCCTACCATACTAGAAGTGAAACGCTGCCTCGCAAGGACAAGATGGGTTAGTCAGGAAGCCATGGGAATGTAGCTTAAGTTCCTTAAGGAGAACTTGACCCCAATGGAGGATAGTAGGTAGACCAGCACTCTTGTCCCGACGATCAGCTTTAGGTCCTGTCTTTCCCACCTAACGAAAGTGCTGCCTTCAGGATCCTGGTGGCGGACTGAGCGAGCGCCTCCTAAATCCTGAGTCCTTACCCTTGTGTGCTTAGGCTGGGCCTCTCTAGCTGCTGCCGATCTGCTTAATGTGTAAGATAATACGTGCTCCACAGAATTCTGCCATTACCTGCGATTAGTCAATGCCTTGTCAACTCTATTGACAGATGAAGCCGCTTTGGTGAAGGGAGCTAGGAAGCTGGGTTTTGTCTTCACCGCCAGAACGCCGTACTCGGTCATCATAGAAGCCGTAAGTGACGAGCCCGGGTACCTCTTGACATTGTATGTCACCTCCTTTTTTGAAGACTGTGTTTGAAATAGCGTGTCTGATGTAAACACGATAGCTACATTTCTTCCTTTTTTTTTTTTTCCCCCTCCTGTGAGGATTAGGCCCCGTTGCGAAACTGCGGGCATGACGGGATTCTGTCAGCTTATTCATGTTGTGTTGCGGGCATTTTTCTCTCAGAGATACTTCAACACAAGTCTTGCATGTGCTGGTGTGATTTGTAGTAAAGAACCTAGCAAGCCTGCTCTTGGTTTTGTCATAGGGAAATAAGCACGTGGCCCACTTGTCCTGAGGACAGGATCTGTGACTCTGTCTCTGTAACCTTGGCACGTAGAGTTCTTGCCCAGCACAGCCCTTGGCGCATTAGCTTCGGTCTCCCTGGCGGGGGGAGAGGCAAGTTGGCACTTAAGATCTTTGTTATTTACACGAGTTTTTCTTTTCCCTACAGTCAAGGGATTTGTTTATTTTATGATTGTTTTGTTTTCTATTTGTATGGTTTTTTTGAGTTTGGCTGCTCAGGAAGCCTGAGGGAGAAATTTGGTGACAGGAAAAAATGGAAATCAAGTATAACATCCAGTAGGGACCCTTGAGGCAGGTAACGGGGGAAATTGATGGTTGGGACTGGCAATGCCCTGGCATTTTTGATGCTGACTGTTAGAGGGGCTGCATTTCGCTACAGTCTGTGTTGATGAAGGGCCTGGAAGCAGTCACTGACTTCTCTCTCCTCTGCCTTCCTGCACCCCTCAATTTGGGGAGGACGGACGGATTATAACGGATTTTGCCTTTATGTATCTTGTGTCTCTAGACCTTGCTGATGCACTTGAAATTCACTACTAACTTACATAGCTGTTATCGTTCCTAACTTGGCAGTGTTCCATTTTTTTCTTGTACTTAGAAATGCGAAACCTAGAAAATACCAGACCTCGACAGAGTGCCCATTTCTTGGCGTTTTCGTGTTCCTGTCTTCTGGAGGACAGAGATGAAATCATAATTATTTTTACTTCATTTTAATCACCAGCAAGACTCGCTTAGGGAAAGGTGCAGTCATTAGAGGTGGAGCCAAGCAACAGACTGAATACAGAATTTCCTTTGTGGAAGGTTTTCAAGCCCTCGCCCCCCTCAGTTTGGGGAGACTCAGAACCTTCGATGTATGATCTGCTGTCGCACGAGTGCTGCTGGTTTCTGTGCATTGCGGCGGTGGGGACTGGAGGCGGGACAGACTGACTGGGCACGAGTGGGAGAGACAAGGAGACAAGGCTGCTTCTGCTTTGCTCACAAGAGCGGCTAAATACAGGGAAGCCAGGGAGCCCACTGACCTTGTCATCACAGTGGTAGATGTCGGTGAAGGGTGGATGGGCACCCCTCTGTCATTTTATTAGCCCATTAAGGCCACGTGTCTGGGAGTACATGAGACTCTCTGACTAGTTCAGGGCCATAAATAATACCTTCGAGATCCTGTTCAGCCAGAGTGTCCTCAAACCCCACCTTCTCAAGTTGGTTACCAGCTGTTGCCATGAAGTGGCCGCTACTGATCATCTTAATGGTCAAGTCCGTGGGATGCACGTGGTTGCCCAGTGGTTGATCTGAGAGCAGAGAGGGGTTAGCACCTGGTGGTCACAGCGCTTGGGCCGATTTGCGGGGTAATGGTGGGCACGCTTCTGAGTGGGCCTCTGAGGAAGTTGGGACAGCCTGAGGAGAAAGAACCGGATGAGGAGGGTCACTGGTTGTATCTCTGGGTGTGAGGGGAGTTGTGCACAGGAGAGTAATGATGCCTCAGGTTTCCCTGGATAATTGGCTTCATTCATTACTTCTCTCAAGCCTGAGGGACACGTTGGTGAGGAGGCCACACGCTCAGTGGCAGAAATAAGATTCTGACTCCTACCTATGGAACTTCAAGGCCCACGTGCTTTTCACCGTGATGTATTGGGGAAATAGAGAGCAGGTTTGATTAAGGAGTTTGGCAACGGTCCACACAGCCTGGAACCTTCTGGGAAAAATCGAGAACATTGAGGTTCCAGCTTTGAAGAACTTGAAGAAAAATAACATTTGATGAATTGCTCTAAAATCTTATGCAGATCCATAATCCTTATTTCTAAATTGCGAATCCAGGAAGCTTTGGATTCCAAAAAAGTTTTCTCCTGTATTTGGGGAATAGGCATCTGGCAGCAAAACTTAGCCAGAACGGACATGAGGCCGTTTATGGTCTTAGGAATCTCCGTGTCCTACGTTTTGCTGTGGAAAATTGATGTGTTGGATTTTAGGGTGTTGTGGCCACATAAGCCCCTGGGGAAATCATGCCACATGGTGTATATGTGCATTTTAATAAAATGTATAAAATTCTGGATTCAGAAGCATGACTGGCCCCAAGGTTTCAGGTGTTCTTGGAAGGGAGGGTCAGCCAGCTGTTGTGATGTCCTAGAGAAGAATGAGAAGCTTCTACCAGAAGGGGGAGCTATGACCCCACCTGACTGGCTTGTGGGAACCCTGTACCTGTTGAAAAGGCCTTGGCAGGGGGATAGAGATGGAGAGAGAATGAGGTGGGGAGGAGGGAGAGCGGGAGAGGTAATCGATGTGTATGTATTACAGAGAGGGAGGGTGAGAGGGATATGTGTGTGTGGATTATATACAGAAAGAGAGAGCGCTGGGAGGAGGAGGAGGAGGGACGGGGAGATGTGTGTCTAGAGAGGTTTACGACTGGGGAGACTGTTGTTTTGAGATTTTAATACTTGGCACCTCAGGTAAGAGCCTGTTTTTCTTCCTTTAGATGGGACAGGAACAGACATTTGGAATCCTCAACGTCCTGGAATTTTCTAGGTATGCTTCTCCTTCATGCACCGGAATAAAATACTTCCGTATATATTTAACAGCTTCATCAGAGTGTTTGCAAGATTGTATGATCTGATTAAATACAGCACTTAGGTATTAACGTTACTGAGTAGATCTCCACAGTCCCTCTCCTGTCTGGAATTTGGGACGTTCTGTAAAGAGAGTGAAGCACATCATTTTCCTGTGCATGCGCGCGTGTTTTCCCCGAGTGAAGCACTGTGCTCCCACAGCCTCCTGTTTCTGTAGGTTTCCAGACCCGCTGTTCCGGCATCAGCAGCCGCGGACACGTCTGCATACTTTGGAGTGTGTGGTGGGGAGGGCTTTATTTCTGTTGGTTTTTCCCAAGTCCCGTGAGGTGGTGCCTCGTGCTTTATCTAAGCACTCTCATGCCAGACCTGGGGCACTGACAAGCCAAGACAGGTAAGATCAGTCCATCCCCGTCGGAGGCTTTGTCTGAGTTGGGCACTTGTTCTCTCTGTATGCCAGCTCATTCTTCCCCAGGGTGGTTTATCTAATTTTCAGACCCAGGAATATTTGTTGATTATTTGCTTCCCTAGATCATTCCTGGTTTGAAAAATGATTTGAAAAATCTTAATGTTTTGTTTCTTGCCTTCTCAACACTGACTGTCAGTACGAGAGCAAAGTTCTTTTGCTACCTTGAGAGCCTGTTTTCCAATTATTAAACCTTGGGTTTTTTTAATAACCTTTGTTAAATGATTTCACACATTGTTTATTCTGTCTGCTTTATAAGCTGTTTGAAAAAGATCAGTTTTAAAAATTTTTTTTTATGTTTTTATTTTTGAGAGAGAGAGAGAGACAGAGTGCAAACAGGGGAGGGGTAGAGAGAGGAGACACAGGATCTGAAGCAGGTTCCAGGCTCTGAGCTGTCGGCACAGGGCTCGAACTCACGGACCATGGAGATTGTGACCTGAGCCGAAGTCAGACCCTTAACAGACTGAGCCACCCAGGCACCCCTGAAAAAGATCAGTTTTGTAACCCTCTTGTAGGAAATGCTTTCCAGCCCTAGTCTTTAGTTTTAGGACTGAAAACTTGAACTTTGGTGGGTCAAGAGCCCTTGTGGCTGCGTATTCAGAGGGGAAGAACGATGGTTGATAACAGCAGTGGTTCATAGAGGGAGTAGGAGACAGTGTCCCTGTGGGTGGAGGTGAGGAACATACTAAACATTGCTCCGGACTTTTTGTGCCCCGTCTCTTACTGGTGTCCTGGAAACTGTGCTGTTATGCGGCTGTGTTAACTGGGACGAGCAGTTATTGGAGGGACAAGGGAGGAGGAAAGGGAATTAAATTAAAGCAGGTGAATATGGATGTGAGGATGTTTTAAAAACTTAGGGAGAACATGTGGGAATAAAAGATCACTTATAGCTGTGGTTCTATTTCTTTTTAGTGGACTCCTCTTCTTCCCAGAGCCACTTAATCATGACCACACTCCTTTGCGGTACCTGGTGGCAGTCCTGCTTTGCGCATTCAGAAACCAAAGTGCTGGGCAAACAACTTTGCCACGAGTCCCCGGCTACTAGGTGGCCGAGGGAGAATTCAAATCCAGGCCAGGCAGAGTGCTTAGGGTTAGGGTGTGGGAACTTACACAGAGCTGGAGAGAGAATGTCCCTTAGTCTGAGGAGCTCATAGTCCATTGGAAATCCCCTTGCTGGGGTGGGTGGTCTGGGGCCCGCTGTGGTTAGGACGTGTTTCAGGAGGATGGAATGTTGTCTGCGAGAGGCAAGGGGCAGGAGCCGTGGAGGGGGGGGTGGTGTGCCGTGTCTTCAGGTGTGCTGGAGGCCTGCTGGTGAACGGGCGGGTTCGTGCGAGATAGACCAGGCCGCAGAGGTGAGTGGAGGTCAGCAAGAATTGGAACCTGTAGGCAGTGGGGAGCCATTGAAGGCTCCGTGAGTGACCATGAGTCATGATGAAAGACCAATGTAGGAGGGTCCGTGTCGGAGTGGGGAGGGCAGCAGTGAGGCTCACCTCAGTGCTGCGTGAGGAATGTTCTACGACTTTGTAATTGCTTTCTATTCTAGTTAAAAGATCCAACAAGAGTCTTGAGTTCAGTGGATGTCTATAGAAGCTTCCACTCTGTTGCTTACTGGGCAGATTACTAATATTTTGAGCCGTAGAACAAAAACACTTTTACGGAGTATCGTCAGGAGTAAATTAGATGTGCGTAGCGGACGGTCAAGTTTTCTGTTTCTGCTCTCCTGCTATACATAATTATATTAGTGAGTTTCCATGGCAGGGAAAAAAATAGGTTTATATCCGTTGTGTATAATAAAAAGAGTGGGAGGTATACAATTAAAGCCCACCTTTGAAGGAAAAGGTAAGGAAAATGGAGTTTCTCCATTTTTAGGACTACCAGGCCATCTTTCGATGTGTTTGGTGCTTAATCATAGGGCATGGGTCCTACAATACAGACCAGTGATAACTTTTTTTTTTTTCCTACTCTTACAGTGACAGAAAAAGAATGTCTGTAATTGTTCGAACTCCTTCAGGCCAGCTTCGACTCTACTGTAAGGGGGCTGTAAGTACTGACCGAGCGTCTCGTGTAGCAGGTGCCCTTGGTGGCTCCTTTGTGAACCTGCTTCTCCTGACCGCTGTCTGACTTGGTAGTAAAGGCCTACTGAACACAGTGGCGGTTCAGGCCAGCGTGGCAACCGTGGCCCCTGAAAAGCTTCCTTTTAGCCAATAGGTGGTTTCAGAAATAGCGCTTTGCCGTGTGATGCGAGATCCTTAGGGTGTGACTTGTGATTCTCATTTTATCACCGTTATGTTGTGACTTCAGGAAGATGGAATGGTTCATAACGACCTGTGATGATCTTTTAAGTATTCGTGTGTGTGTGTGTGTGTGTGTGTTTGTTCTCAAACAGCTATTCGTAGTTGTTTTGTGTTTTCATCACAGAGAGCTTTTCTGGGCTGTGTTGCTCAGTGTTAGCTGAAGTGGGTTCAGGGCCTAGTGGCTGGTACACGCCATGGCTGGGAGCTCCTGCAGGGGCAGGAAGCAAGAGTGTATTTGTGCAGTTTAGGATGTGCATGGTACCCTTTCCGCTTCTGCATAAAGGTGTTCTACACATCGGTACATATTTTGCAAATTTGGGTAAATGTAGGTACCATTATCTCTCTGACAGTTCTCTTGACGCTTACGGTTCTCCCCAAAGTTTTTGTCTGGACACATCCATACCCAGTTTGTTTTCCAAAGCTCATGAGTGAATCTGTCTGAGAACTGTATTTCTACCTGCCCGCTCAAGTACTCTCAAGTATTCACATTGGATAAGCATCATTAAAACAAAGCTAGGTTTAGGATGCTGACCTCAGGGTTTACTTAAAGGTTTGCCAGTCACAATGTTTCTCTATTTTGTAGGATAATGTAATATTTGAGAGGCTTTCAAAAGACTCAAAATACATGGAAGAAACCCTGTGCCATCTGGAATATTTTGCCACGGAAGGTCAGTGAAATTTGGAAATGTTATTTTTAACCATTGAAGTTTTACTTTCAAGTGTTTGCGGCTGATGCTCGGGGGTGAGCGGTCATGGTCTGAATGGACGCGTCCGTTTTGTGCCGTACTTGGCTTGCTTCCTAGGAGTATACTTTCCTAGGGCCAACCCCTGCCCCCACCCTCCACATTCTGTGCCCACGGCCATGACGCCATGTGCACCAGAGTCCACGCAGAGTTACGTGCATGACTCTGTTCGCTCTTCCCCTGAAGGACGAAGGGAGCAGGCAGGCCAGCTCACGATGTGTAGAATCATTCTGTAGTCATTATTCCTCTTCAAAAAAACCCATGTCCTCACTTCCCCGTCCCCCTCTCGTGATCCTTGTGACGCTGGCTTATCCATGACTTGAGGAAGCAGTAATTCACTGAGCCCACAGAGACTGGGAAAGGAGTTCTCTGAAAGGATGTCAGAGATTCCAGCAAGGGAACACGATGAACGTTGGAGCCTTGCCTAAGTGCTGGCTGCTGCTTTCTTGGTTTCGTGTGTTCCTGTGGCTATGAGCGTGTGTGTGCCTGCATGCGTGTGCACGTGCACATGTGACTGCTTGAAAGCCTGGGTCTTCCACATGGTAGCATGTCCGGCTTTTATTGCTCTCCTGCCTCCTCTACTTCTGATACCTGCCCACGGCACGCGTACGTATAGATCGTGCCCAGCTCCTGTACGTGTCTGCCGTAGGGAGTTCACGTTCACGGCTTCTCGCTTCTCATGGACTCTCAAATGTATCCTCAAGGTGGTTTATAGCAAAATGCAGTAGACTTGTTTCTACCTTCCCTTTTTCGATGAGTGAAAGTTGAATCAGAGTGACCTAAAAAGCAGATAGTTTCTTGAATTTTTTTTGAGTGTGCGGGTATAAAATGGAGCCACGTGATGTCACCTATGAGGGAAGGCGTCCTGCTTCTTTCCATCGCTGGATACACTATGGCTGTTTTGCAGGCTTGAGGACTCTCTGTGTGGCTTATGCTGACCTCTCTGAGCAGGCGTATGAGGAGTGGCTTAAAGTCTATCGAGAAGCCAGCACCATCTTGAAAGACAGAGCTCAGCGGTTGGAAGAGTGCTATGAGATCATAGAGAAGGTAATTGCACGTGATACACTTGTTACCTGCCCAGTGAGGGGCTCCACCACGTATTGGACAAAGTCTCTGGACAGGAATCCTTTTGCTGTATAGCGGAGAGCGTGTGTGCATAGGGGAGGGGCAGAAGAAGGGACAGAGAGAGAGCGAGATAATGAATGAATCTTAGCACTGGGCATGAAGCCTGCTTGTCTGTCCAGCGCTGAGCCTGGCCTCATAACCCTGACATCATGACCTGAGTCAAAATCAAGGGTCAGACGTTTAACCAACTGAGCCACGCAGGTGCCCCTTAACCATTAGCTTTTAATGATGTCTTTCTTTGCTTTAAGAAGCACTTAGTTTTTTTTTTCTTTTATTAAAGTTTATTTATTTATTTTGAGCGAGAGAGAGAGAGAGAGAGAGCGCACAAACAGGGGAGGGGCGCAGAGAGAGACGGGGAGACAGAATCCCAAGCAGGCTCTGTGCTGTCAGCATGGACCCTGATCTGGGGTTCTAACCCACAAACCACAAGATCATGACCTGAGTCAAAGTCAGATGCTTAATTGACTGAGCCACCCAGGTGCCCCAAGAAACACTTAGTTTTTATGGGCTACCTGAAAGATTGAACCAGCTTCCGCTAAGTGTTAATGGTATCTTAAGAAGTATCAGGTCAAAAACAATGTCAGTGACTTTCTGGGTTTGCCTAAGATTAGGCACCCTGTTGACTTACATGAGTTACATGAATCAGACCCCATAGGCTGGTTGGACATTGTTCATTCTGAGAATTTTCACACTTATTCTAGTAACAGCTGCTTTTGCCATTGGTGCTTTGTATTGCCTACTTTGATTTTTGATGTTGTTTCTGTTCTTTTCAGTTTAACCCAAGGCGTCAGGTAGCTTTCTAGGTATTAGATTCCCTCCCATCTGGGAGCTGGATTTCACCTTTTTCTGTTTCATGTCGGCAACCATTGGCCCATCCAATTTCCAGTTTCTAGAACTCTGGAGTCATTAGCTTTTATCATTCTTTGTGTTTTTTAAAATTACTCTTGAATTTTTTTATACCCTGTTTTTACTTGAGTTTTATATTTACTTACGTGTCACTTTAATGGAATTTGGTAGGAGTGGAACCAAATTCAAGTGTACATTGTTTCTGCTTTACTGGAAATAACCAAAATTACTTTAGAATCAGAAAATGATTAAATCGGGGCACCTGGGTGGCTCGGTCAGTTAAGCATCTGACTTTTTTTTTTTTTTTAACGTTTATTTATTTTTGAGAGACAGAATGCAAGCAGGGGAGGGGCAAAGAGAGGGAGACACAGAATCCAAAGCAGGCTCCAGGCTCCGAGCGGTCAGCACAGAGCCTGACGCGGGGCTCGAACCCGCAAACCGCGTGATAATGACCTGAGTCGAAGTCGGATTCTCAACCGACTGAGCGACCCAGGCATCCCAAGCATCTGACTCTTGATCTTAGTTCCGTTTTTGATCTCAGAGTTGTGAGTTCAGGCCCTGCATTGGGCTCCATTCTGGGCATGAAGCCTACTTAAAAAAAAAAAAAAAAAGAAAGAAAAGGAAGAAGACGGTTAAGTAGGTGACGTGCCCATGGGGCACCCTTTGCACCAAGCACATAGTGGATGCTTTTCCCACAATCAGGTAATCAAGCTAAGGTACTCTGTCATGGAGAGACTCAGGGGAGGTAGGTAAGCGGTTAACAGGCTCTCTGGGCAGGGGCTGGGGAATCTGCCAGACCAGCAGGCAAGGTACAGGCTGCTGCTGTCTCCACATCCCCGTGCATTCACACCCATCCTCACTGTGAACTAACCCTTTGTGGGTCTGGAAGAAGTTTAACAATCTTAAAATCTTAAAATCCTTTGATATTTTTTCTTTGGCTTTTAAGTTGTTAGCATCCACGGCCTCTTAGCTTTGTATTGCCAGATGTGCGTTATCATCTAGAATCAGTTTTGCTTCCGTGTTAACTATTACATGGTATGTCCTTAGCTCATCAGTGGAGAGGGGAGGGCTCACGTACTGACTATCCTCAGGATAACTTGCTTGTATGCTTTACCGCTGGGTGATTTCTATTTTAACATGCCCATGGACCAGGAAATAAATGATAAATACTAGGTTGCCTCTGTGTCTTGAGTGGTTCTAACACTGCAAACAGTTTTGAAACTCAGTACATGAAGCATCATTAATTATTTGCAAACAAAGGCTTAATGTACAGGAAATAAGAGAACCGTCAACATTTTGACTGCCTTTTTGGGTCAGTTTTGTGGTTAATGCTGCTCTTAAGCGTGTGCCGATCTTTAATTGATGTTATTTTTCAATCTAGAATTTACTGTTACTTGGAGCCACAGCCATCGAAGATCGCCTTCAGGCAGGTGTTCCAGAAACCATAGCGACTCTATTGAAGGCAGAAATTAAAATATGGGTGTTGACAGGAGACAAACAAGAAACTGCAATTAATATAGGTAATGCATTTTAAAATTTCCTGATGCTGGTTTTGTATTGTTTGTAAAGTGTCTTGTAGAAGTGCCTAGGGCTTCCTCAAAGGCATTGACAGATGATGTTTTAAGGCCCAGGAAAGTTTACCTAAATCAAATGAAGATGCTCTTGTGAGCATTATCTGCCTGTAATAAACACTGAAACTCCATCTCCCTGAAATGTAGAATACAGAATTCAAGTTTTGAAGACTTTTTTTTCTTATCACTTTCTTCACAAAGTTTTAGTCTGAGGCTAAGATGTTTTCACTGAGTTTATTTATTATTATTTTTTGAGAGACAGAGTGAAAGTGGGGGAGGGGTGGAGAGAGAGGGAGACACAGAATCGGAAGCAGGCTCCAGGCTCTGAGCTGTCAGCACAGAGCCTGACGCTGGGCTCGAACTCAGGAACCATGGGATCATGACCTGAGCCGAAGTTGGATGCCCAACCGACGGAGCCACCCAATCCCTCACTGA